ACTCCATCACCAGTTTCAGGCCTGGGGGGAAAGAACCCTATTCTTTGCTCCTGTTCATGCATATCTATCAAAATTAAGTGCTATGTTTGCTGCTGAGGTCTGAGCGGATTGAAGAGTGGTTATCTCGAAACCTTAGAGATGTTGACATTTCAATAATAGAAATAAAATAAATAAAGACAGGGTTATTCCTAATCTATCCAGTCATATTAGTTTTGCAACAATAATCTATGTTTTGCAATCATCTGATTATTTAAAGGCAGTAGGCTTGTCATAAAATGAATGGATCTGAACTCATTAATGCACTCAATTGTATAGTGCCTTGAGATTACATCTAGTGCTAAATGAAGAAACTGAATAAAATGAAATTAAATCTTCAAGAAAAGTTTTCAAAATTGTATGCATTTACACATTTTTAATCTGAGCTGACACAGCCAAAACCCAAATTTTATAAGAACAAAGGAGTTGTCACGACCTCAGAATCCCTTTCAGAGCATTCATTTAGCTGAAAGGTTTGATGCTTTCTCCAGAAAAAAAATCAGAAATTTTTCTTCACTCAGGAAGGTGACTTGTTTTTGCAATCAAACACACAGCATATCTGCTCTGAGCCTTGTTGCTCAGTGAACGTTGATGCTACTGTTATATTTATACTAATGGATTTCCTGTGTAATGAACTGGTGTAAATTTTCCCTTCATTGCTTGTAAAAAGACACGCCAGCTCTGCATTTGCTGTGTTGTTATGCTAATGGTGGCGGCAGTGATGCGCTCGTTCAAATGAAATGAAATGTGGGCTCAGTGAGGCAGGGAAACATCCAAACACAGTGAGGTCACAAGGCTTTTTTATTTCCAAATATCTAGTAAGAAAGCATCTTTGAATGCACTGAATATCAACACAACCTTAATTTAAATTAGGGCAATTTTTAAAGTGAAAGCTAACAGAGCTGAGATGAAGCCCTGGTGATGTGACTGTCTTCATTAAGGACCTAACCATCCAAATCCAGGCACTGACACTAGTGAAAAGTTTAAAAATATTTACTTTAATGCTAAGTAGAAGTAATGAAAAATAAGCTTACCATTGTTGTTTCAGCAATGGAGCCAAAACTGTTGATAAAAATGTTGCAGGTCACATTGACAGGTGGACCTGCAGAAAGGACACAGAAAAAAAAAAGAAAAAAGTTAGTAATCTTTACATGATTAGAGATGTTATAAAAGGTTTCACCTATATTTTTTTGTTAAATCAAAATAAATGCTTTGAGATTTAGTCACATCAGTGAATTGTATTGATGCTCTTTAAAAGGGAAATTGTAATATAATTCGGCGCAAGGTCACTGTTCAGTATTTTGCCACATCTTACTTAATTCCCTAATCCAATTTGCAACCATTTTGAAACTAGTTTTAAAACGTAACCATTTACAGGGAACTCAGTTAAATACTTTGAAATTCAAAATTTCTAGTCAAGACTGTTTTTGCAGAACAGACGTATTAATTTGTAAGATAAAAAAGTGGCAAAGGTCAATGAAATGACCTAAAACAGTCCCTAATGTGTTGGGGGAAAAAAAAAATCAATGAAGTGCTTCTATTCCTGAAAAACACTTAAAGAAACACATTTGTTTGTTAGAACATAACCCTCAGAACAATAATGCTAAAAAGGGAATTTACATTTTTTTCATTTTTAACTTAGCTTAATAGCTTTTTTAATTATCTTTTTATTTATTTATTTGTATGCTTGTTAACAAAGTTCTTATAAACTTTTTTTAAACTTAATTTACAGTTGGTAACATATCACACAGAGTAGGCAACGTAAGATTACTGGTAGTATTTTATGAAGCAGTTATATTTGCCTGATTTGTTGCAAAATAGTATCTATATCTAAATGACCAAAAGTACTAACTTGGACGATAAAGGGTTAAAGGTATTCCAAACCAGTCAGAGGCACACTTGCCCTTGCCTATTCTGTAACATTTGCTCCCCAAATGTCAGGTCCACTAATGGTCATGCTTACCTCTCGTTAGCATAAGCACATTTTTTACGTACCTGTCCAGTAGGAAAGCTTTGACCATTGTGTGGCTTCTGAGCCCATTTAATTTCTAATGCCAGCACCAGTGCTTAAAAGCTTGACCAATGCTTCTCAGCTCTATCATCAACTTTTATATTGGCATGATCGGGCAACGTTTTAGCTCTGTGTCATGTGACTACTATTCCTATTGGTGCAGAATCATTTTTTGTCGATTTTGCCATTGTAACCAGAAGCAAATATTTATATATTGTGTATCCATTGGAATTTATAAAACAGTTATTTATACACTATATATATTTTTTTGTAAAATAATACCTTTATTCTGCACAACATTGTGTAGCTGCGTTATTATTATTTTTTTTTTATGTATAATTTTGTCCAAAAAGATGTAGCTATATCCTTTTTGTATTGGGGGAAAATCTGAAATCTCTAGAGCTGCAGACCTTTCTAAAGAGATACATATAACAGAGACACCCAAAAAGGCCTCTTTTGTAAAAACATGTTTAGACCAAAAATTAACCAAACACAAATCAAGAGGTAGAAATATTACAAATCAGATAAATGAGAGGTTAAAAAGATAAAAAGACAAATTTCTTCTAGATCATTAAGCATCACAAATTAACATTTTACTACATCTTGTTTTCAATTGGATTCAAAAGTAAAATTTATCAATTTCAAGTCTAGAAAAAAAATAAATTCAAAATAAAGATGATAAAAAGGTAACAATAGCTTATAGAAATAGCAAATACTATCCGTGAACACACATCATGTTGAAGAAGATGAACAACAGCTGTGGTAGAGGTGCAGTGTATCAAGACTAACAAATGAACACTAGTTCACAACTCAAATAACACTAAATGAACAAGAAAACATGTTTCCAATCTCTTTTTGTACAAGATTTTGGGAACCCTTAACAAGGTAAGGTGGATGAATACCTTTTTACATTTCATTCTTATTATGATTTTGTCATCCTAATATGACAACATTCAGTGTATTCTCATTATCAGTTCGTATGAAATCGTACAAAAAGTTATGCACAGTAATTTCGTACGTTTTCAACGTTTTTTTCATGGTATTTCGTCGTATTTTTACGTCTTGCCTCGAGACAAGATATCCTTGCGCATGTGCATCTTACGCACCATTCAATAACATAGAATTTTACCTACAATTAACCCTAACCCTAAGATACAAAACAGCAAGCAACCTAGTTAGAGACATCAAGAAGTAATTATTGCACAGTTTTTCCCAGTTTTACGTTCGTCCGCAGATCTGCTTTTCTCATCTGTCTGGCTGCGTATGCGCACTGATCTGTTTTTTCCAGGAAAAACGTTGAAAACGTACGAAATACTGTGCATAACTTTTCGTACGATTTCATACGAATTGATAATGAGAATATGTTGCAACATTAGTGATTCAGACTGGTGATAAGAGGATAACGGTACTTTCTTGCCAAACGTTCAACCCCCAACTCAGAATTGTAAATAACAACAAAGCCTATTTTTCTTGCCCTAGTGCACAATGTCACAAGTCAATTCATCCCCAACTGGTATCTTGCAGATAACAATGAGCTGAAATACTCTAATGGCCTCCACAATAACCAACTAGATTTTAGTTGGGTTTTAGATTAATTGTTAATAAAGTGGCCCAAAAAATTACTTAATTAAGTGTAAATATTCAATTAACACACATAAAAGTATGATCTCTTAACTTAAAGGCAGCTTTAGTGATAAAAGCAGAGTTATGTTGACAAGAGAAGTGGGAAGTAAATAAAGCTAAAGTAACTGTCTAGTGTGGTAAGAACAGATTCATGTGCCGAATGAATGAACAAGTTAAAACCTCCAAAAGAACCTGTCATCATCAGGACATTTCCCAGCTGAGATCTGGCCAAAGCGTATACATTTTAGTACAAATAAGGAAACCAATTGCATATAATTAATCTAAAAATAAAAATACATTTATTTACAAATTAAATCAGTTCATTTTTTAGCTTCTTCTTCCATGGACTACGTGTGGTGCAGAAGGTGGTTTACAGATGAGCAATTTAAGGTGACAGTGAGCAGTAAATTAACACAGTGAAGTGTTCACCTCACAAACACTAAATTCAAGGCTGTTCAAACACAAAAAGGATTAGTCGATAGGCCGGAGTTGCAGAGAGGAATATGTAGGTTGACTCGACAGAAACATAACTTTTACTCTCAATACAAAATTTAGGCAATAAGACTGAAATTACTCATATCTGTACTTTTGAAGTTCTTAGAATTTGTGCTTTCCTACAGAAAGGGATAAAATGACAATGAATACAATCTACTTAAGAGAGATATTATTACACGTA